TGATAGCGCTTTTGAAAGAGCACATAGATATATGATGTACAGGGTATCCAGGATTTTTTGGAGACGAAAAATTGCGAAAATTAATCGGATCAAAATGAGAAGAAAAGTCAAATACCATTTTGCAAAAATCGCAATAGTTATCGGATTGTTAATGATTGAAAATGACCATATCTAGAAGCTCTTTTAATTGATAATTTGAAAATTTGCGTACTTATTTGCAACATGGTAAAGGACGTTTTTGTACAGAATGATCTAATCTACAATTATATAACGGCTATTGTGTCTAGCAATAGATATGAATATATTGAACTTTGAACCCTGAATTTTGAACCTGTCGCTAGGCAAAATGGACATCATATAATTATAGATTAGGTCATTCTGAATAAAAAGTACCATTTTGCAAATAAGTACGCAAATTTTCAAGTTATCAATTAAAAGAGCTTCTAGATGTGGTCATTTTCAATCATTAACAATCTGATAACTATTGCGATTTTTGCAAAATGGTATTTGACTTTTCTTCTCAGTTTGGTCTGATTAATCTTCATAATTTTTCGTTCCCAAAACATCCTGGATATCTTGTATAATAATGTTATGCAAACTTTATAAGAATCCATTATAAAATCATTAGTCGTAAGAATATCGTCGGAACCATTGGGGTTGCTATGTGCCGCTCGATTATCAAGATTAAGCAATCTCTACCGCGGTCTCAACACAATGGAATGTGACCACTTGCGCCGCTTGGAATCGAAGGGCCGGAAAGTACATGTGTATGTGGCAATCCTTCGGTTTTAGTGGTCGCGAGACTTAAGAAAATTCGGGATAATTTTTTTATAAACGTATACGCGACGTTCCTTGAATAATTAATTTGAGCTTGAAACGATAACGAAATTGCGTTCGAAGACAGGTCTATATTTATACGCTTTCGACGTTGAATCAAACGCGTTTTCGATGTTGATTCGACGTCGTATGAACCAAATGTTTCTGACTGGGCAGGATCCTTAATCCGAAATGAAACGTGGGAAGGATTTAATAAAGTAACTTAATAAGATCCTGAATCTATGAATCCTTAACCTTTTGTTGCACGTTTTTTCCTAGTGCATTTTTGTGTAACTTGTTACCCGGGGGTTTCTGGGATCGCTGAGTACAAATTTAATGTAAAAAATACAAGATTCAATATGGGGGATCCAATATGACGGATGGAATTTTCAAAGTCAACCGGATCCGCTTGAACTTCGTCACTCAGGAGTTTTGGGGTCGCTGATCACGCTGATTGGATCCGCCATTTTAAATTTCAAAAATCTGACAACGGATTTATAATCAGCGATCAGAAAAATATATAAATTATGCCGTACATATTTATTACCAAATTTTTCCAATCCGATTTTTGAAGGAAAAAAGAATATTTTTGCAATTATTTTGTTTATAACAAATAATGCAAAATAATAGTTGTACGACATGATGTATGCATAGAATAATATCTGAGGATCCCGTAAAGTCTTATTACGTAACAAGAAATCCTTAACCTAAAATTTAAGAGAAAATTTAAACAATGACTAAAAAGGTGTCACATACCATATATGTTGACTTGTGCAGCAAAGGATTAATAAGATCCTGATATTCGCTGCGTAACTAGGATGACTTACTAAGACCTGATGACCAAATAATCTGATTAACCTAGTCAGGACGAGATAAATTTCTAGTCGGGAACTGCTCCACGTATCACGTATACATTTCCTCTGTCCAGTCTCGCTCGGACGTTCCTCCCCCGAAAGCTCTCCCGAAAAAGATGCTCTTTCTGTGAAAGAGAGAGAGAGAGAGAGAGAGGGGGGGGAACGGTGCTGTTTTCGTTTGTAATTCGTGCTGTTGGCACGTAACAAGCGACGAGCCGTGGTCGTGAAACTTCATCGAGCAATTCCGCCGTCGGTCGCTGACGACCGGAGCCGGAGAGAATGCAGCCTCTTGATGCACTGTATTTGCATGTGAACGAGCTGCGCGGCTAGTCCCGGGCGAGCCGCCGCAACCTAATTGTTAGTCCGCTTGACCCGATCGCGAAACGCCGTGCGCGGCATCGCGCAGGACGCGATTTTCATTCCCGGCTCGCTACGTGCTCGCTACGTTGCAACAGAGAGAATCACGCTCGCGCTTTGTCCGCGGCTTTGAGGCGCGATTTGAGGAGGGCATTCTTTGCTCGAAACCGGTTCCTCTCGGCGAGACTCGCTCCCCGAGAGGCGGGAAAACCCGGGAGATTGCGTTTTCATTTTCATTCCGCAGGTTGATGTGTGTCGAAACTGATCTGAATCCTCCGTTTGTCGTCGATACATTTAGCAGTCAGGCCAAATACGGCCTCAAACTCTTTCGGCCTTACTAATATTTATCCATTTCTTCTTCATTTTTTTGTACTTGAGCGTTTGAACGGCTCATCAGCCAAGTGCTAATTGAAAGAGACATTTTCGAAAGGCAGAGGAAAATGGTGAGAAAATCAGCACGTTTGTGAAATACGATTGCGAGGATTCTGGCGCGAAAAGTATTGTGACTAACGGAGGGTTGATAAAGCGGGAGCTTTGACACACACGCAACGTCGTGTCGCTCCACAGCGCGTAACGTCTTTCCAAGCTGGGGCGGATTCGCAACGGCTTCGCAAATTGGGCCAATCGATGATCCAAAGCGTAATCCAATAACTGCCGTGCTCGACGCAGCAAATATTTAGCATTGCCCAGTAGAGACGACGCTCGTGAAGCTTGTAACGTTGTAACGTCGCAAATTTCTCGCCGATGACTCAGGGAACTTGCGACGTTCCCCCTTGACGTGGGAAATTAGTCGGAATACACGCGGAAATACACAAGGCGAACAGATTGTAAATGTCGTTTTTGTAGTCGATATTTTACACACAAGTTGACGTAATACGCAAAGAAAAATGTCCTGCTGTACTGCTAAGAAAAGCGGTTGTATGCTCTGCTTACTTTTCTTCTCTCGAGCGGTGGTCATCTTCAATAAGGAATATTTTCTCTTCAGGGATGTTATAAAATTTATACTCTATGTAAAAGAAGCAATTTTTTGTTTCAATTTAACACTTTTATTGACTCTCTAAGAGTAATGTCATTAAGATTCAAAACGTATTTTGAGTAAATTTGAAACCTAGAACGAATTGGAGTCTCCCATGAAAATACACAGGTTGAGGCTTAAAACAGGCCACGTGAATAACTTTGAAAATATGCAAGATAAGAAAATATGTTAAATATAGAAGTTGTAGGTTTTTAGTGACGCATCACATAGCAACACTAGTATCTTGAACGGCGTTTAAGGTCACGGAAAGGTCACCTTGACTTTTTTAGAAACCGGCATCTTTTATTATATCATTTTTTCCTACCAATTAATTTGACCAACTTTTGTCTGAAACATTTTTTTACTTGCCTATTATTTTCTGAGATATTTAAGGAAAACTTTAAGGAAAATTCTTTTAATTCTTCGCTTGCGATATCTCGGTAAGTAGTCGGAAGTAGTCGGCTTATCGGAAGAAAAAGTGCTACTAGACTTTTTTACTCTATTTGATCTGAAGAATATGCTGTTGCAATAGTGGTCTAACTTTTAACTTGATGAACCTTTGGAAATTTCAAAGTCATCATATCACTTAAACCCTCTAAATGCATCACTTAAACCCTATAACTTCTGTATTGAATATTTTTTTCTATCTTGCTTATTTTCAAAGTTATTCAGGTAGTCTATTTTAAGTGCCTCACTCTATATTATGCGCTTTACAAACTTTTGTTAACTTAATGATCTCTGGAAATTCCGAAATCATTATATCATTTAAACCCTCCAAACGCGTCACTTAAAATCCTACAACTTCTGTATTTAACATTTTTTTTGTCTTGCCTATTTTTAAAGTTATTCAGGTGGCCTATTTTAAGTGCCTCACTTTGTATTATGCGCTTTACAAACTTTTGTTAACTTAATGACCTCTGGAAATTTCGAAATCATCATATCATTTAAATTCCCTAAATGCGTCACTTGAAACCCTACAACTTCTGTATTGAACATTTTTTTCTATCTTGCCTATTTTCAAAGTTATTCAAGTGGCCTATTTTAAGTGTCTCACTCTGTATTACGCGCTTTACAAACTTTTGTTAATTTAATGACTTTTGGAAATTTCGAAATCGTCATATCACTTAAACCATTTAAATGCGTCACTTGAAACCCTACAACTTCTGTTTTATTTAACATTTTTTTTTCTACCTTGCCTATTTTCAAAGTTATTCAAGTGACCTATTTTAGATGCCTTACTCTGCGTTATGCATTCTACAAGGATATATGTTTATAGCATTTCCAAAGAGATCTCTCGTAATCGCTATTTCCGTTGTAAAAAGTCTACAATCTATAGAACGCAGCGGTTATTCGCGATAGCGTGCGACTGCTGCGTAGAGCTCGAAATTAAATTCGACGAATATTTGAGTACGCTCAAGCGTATATCTGCGATACATTTGCGCAGCGCGGATCCATATGTTTCCCGAATCTCACAAGTTATCGCTTAAGTAAACATGGCCGCCGCCGCGTGAAGCGATACTCAAGTGGCGCTGCAATAATAATGCGCCGCTAAAATCACGCTAATTTGCTACTTTGTTAATCAGGGGAGGGGGGAGGCGCACGCTCCATTCTTTATTATACATGAATTACGCGTCAACCTTCGAGCGATTTTCCTCACGAGGATCCTCCGTCGCGCGTCTTCTTCTCTTATCTCGGCAATATTCTCGACCAAACAAGCCCCTCACAAAGCGACGCGGCTTAGCGCGTTCGTCAATAATGCCCAAGGATCTCCGCGTAAAAGCATGATTCGCGAGGAAGAACTTCTTCATCGCTATCAGCAAGACGACCGTTGAAGGTATGAGAAACGCGCAAGAGAATTCGAGATCGCGGCGGAGGATCGCGTGTGAAGTTTCCTTCTCCTTTTAACGGGACAGCATCGACCGTCTCTCTCTGACCGCTCGTTCCCCTTTTGCTTCCAGGTGAGAGGAGTTTCTCGACCTAGGCTAAGATGTCACATCACAGCGACGACAACATGCTGATAGCGACGTCGGACTCCTTTTGGGAGCCGGGCAATTACAAGCGCACCACCAAGAGGATCGAGGACGGGCACAAGCTCTGCGACAGTCTGATAGCGCTGGTCCAGGAAAGGGCGGAGATCGAGAAGACTTACGCGAAGGCGCTGAAGAATTGGTCGAAGAATTGGAACGACAAGATCGAGAAGGGACCGGAATACGGCACCACCGAGGCGGCGTGGAAGGGCGTGCTCGTCGAGTCCGACAGACTGTGCGATCTTCACCTCAGGGTCAAGGAGAATCTCTGCAACGACATTATTCAGCAGGTGAAGACGTGGCAGAAGGACACGTATCACAAGGTAAGGACCGCTTTCCCCGTAGATCGCGAGCCTCGCGACGTCTCGTCGATAACACTTCCCCGTCGCTCACGAGAGAGAGAGTTCACGCGGCGAAACTCGCTGAGCCAGAGGTGTCCTCAAAAAGGACCAAAAAGAACACTGACGAAAAGACGTTGACTGTGATTGCTCTCTTCCTTTGTTAATTTTTCTCGATTTTACGCCGCTTTTCCGTGTACTCTTCGGTGTTCCTTCTTTCTCGCTAACATCGCGCGAGTTTGGTTCGCAGTCGATGATGACCCTGAAGGAGCGCAAGGAAATGGAGGACGCGTTCAAGAAGGCGCAGAAGCCGTGGGCGAAACTCCTGCAGAAGGTCGAGAAAGCCAAGTCGGAGTACCACAATAGCTGCAAAACCGAACGAACGGCGGCGAACATGGAGAGGAACGCTTCGGCGGATAGTTCTCTCTCGCCGGACCAGGTGAGGCGCGCTCGCGCGCAGATTGATTCTATTCGCCGTGTCTTTCGCGCACACATTATACCACTTGCCATTCGTAACGTGTTATTAACCAGCGGCGCTGGCAACGTCCACGATATGTACGAGCAGCAGAAAGGAATCGCCTCGTCATCGCGTTCGCTTTTAAAAGGCCGGCGCGCTCATTAACTCGCGTTGCAGATCTAATCGCGACCAGCCGCTGAGAGTTTGTCCGACTAATTAATATACTAACGCACACAGACGCGCGGAGTATGATGTTTCCGCGGGCGAGCGCGCGCGAAACACGTGTAAAATTCACCGCAGACATGCCGCTCGATATTTCTCAGTCGTTGCTTTCAGCGTCGAACTTTCGCACAGCAACGGCCGCACCAAATAGCGATAGATTGATGTGCCCACGGATTGAATAATGTCGCTCTAATGATCCGCGACAAACAAGAAACGCGCGTTGTATGTTGTGTGTGTTTATGTGTGTGTGTGTGTGTGTGTGTGTGTGTGTGTGCGCGCGTGTACCTGTACGTGTGCGTGTATTTCTTAAAATTATTAAAGTCCGTCAGTCGAGTCCTGAAAAATATGTTAATGCGCGACGCGACTGTCGACCGATCACTGCAGACACACATAACGATAGCAACATGTTAACATTATATACACACATACACACACACACACACACACAAACGCGCGCGCGTAATGAACTTGATTTTGAAATCTCCAAAAATCATCAAACTAACAAAAGTTAAGGCACTATTGTAATAACATATTCTTGAGACTAAATGAGTAAAAAAGTCTAGTACTATTTTTTATTTCGACAAATAGTTAGCGAGATATTGTAAATTAAATGTTGAAAAAGTTACCAAGCTTTTCTTAAAAATTTCAAAAAATATTAGATAAATAAAAAAAACGTTTCAAACAAAAGTTGTTCAAACTAATTGGTAGAAAAAGATGATATGATAAAAAATTAGGATTTCCATTTAATAAAAGTAATGATCAGTGAACATCTCGAAAGTGGCGCCATCTATAAACAAAATGGTATAGTTGTTTTATATTCTCTTTTAAGCCATACAACTTTTGTCTGAAACATTTTTTTTAGATGTGACATTTTTTATTTGGCTAATATTTTTTAAGATATTTAAGGAAAATTTGATAACTTTTTCAATATTTAACTTATCTCGCTATCTCGATATTTTGCTATTTGTCAGAGAAAGAATGGTACTAGACCTTTTTACTCTATTTTGTCTCAAAATATTGTTACAATCTTATATTGTTACAATAACGCTTTGACTTTTTGTTAATTTGATGATTCTGAAATTTCCAAAAGTCGATAAGTTTAACAAAAATTAGGGCACTATTGTAATAATATATTCTTGAGACCAAATAGAGTAAAAAAGTCTAGTACCACTTTTTCTTCCGACAAATAGTTACCGAGATATCGCAAGTCAAATATTGAAAAAGTGGTCAAGTTTTCCTTAAATATCTCAAAAAATATTAGACAAATAAAAAAACGTTTCAATCAAAAGTTGCTCAAATTAATTGACAGAAGAAGATGATATGATAAAAAATGGGGTTTCCATTTAAAAAATTCAAGCTGATCTTTCCGTAACCTTGATGACGCTGTTCAAGGTCATACTAGTATTGCTATGTGGTGCGTCACTTAAAATCCTACAACTTCTATATTTAACATTTTTTCTATCTTGTCTATTTTTAAAGTTATTCGGGTGATCTATTTTAGGTGCTTCACCCTGTATACACACACACACACACACACACAAATATACATAGATATATATATATCTATTTTATTATTTATTAATATTATTTATTATATATATAATTATGCTTATATATAATTATATATATATATAACGAATAATTAAATAAATATATATACATATCTATGTGTGTGTATATATATTATATATATATACACACACATATATATATATATATGTACTGTTAGTTTTGCATCTCGCGATCACGCACACGCGCCGCCTCTCTCATATAGTAGATACAGTTGTTCTTTAGCAAGTGTTATTTACAGATGGCCCGAGGCTCTGAAAACGTACGTCACACCTTGTGTATTTCTTAAGAATTTACTCGCATGCTCCTCTCTCTGTCTCTCTTCTTCTCTCTTTCTCTCTCTCTCTCTCTCTTTCTCTCTCTCTCTCTCTCTCTCTCTCTCTCTCTTTTTCTCTTTCTCTCTCGTCTGTTTATCCTCGCATCCGTTAACGTTTTCGTGATGATTTAACAACGTGACTTGTCCGCGCAAAGAGTCTCTGTCTTTGTCTGTGTTGCATGCTTGTATGTGTGCGTTTATAAGCGTGTATTACGTGTGTGTATGTACGTGTGTGTGTGTGTGTGTGTGTGTGTGTGTGTGTGTGTGTGTGTGTGTGTGTGTGTGTGTGTGTGTGTGTGTGTGTTCGTGTGTGTGTGTGTGTGTGTGTGTGTGTGTGTGTGTGTGTGTGTATGTATCTCGTCCACTATTCAGGAAATGACATCTTGCGCTGGTCGCTCTGTGTAGACCGACATAAATATTTCATTGCGCTTCTTGTACAGTAGTAATTACACGAATGACGCAAGGCGAAGCTGTAACGCGATGGGGAAAAACCGTATTGCAATTTTCCGTTCCAAGTTTTATCGTCGCTCGTTGCTATCGCTCGAAATACCGGTAGAGATACCGCGATACCGCTGAGAGATTGATTTGAACGTAAGAAACGCGTACGGGGAGAGGTAGAGGGGAGGGAGAAACTCGCGAATTCCGCGCGTTTCGTAATTTCCTTTTAATTTCTAAAAATAGCGGAATGTTAGCGAGCAATAATTTATGAGAGCGCACCGTAGTCGAGACTATTACACCACCAATCCATGCCGGATATCGGCGGTAGAGATCTCTGAAAGACGGCTGTAACGACGTTTCTAGATGACAGAATGTGGATGTGGTGCATGGAGCCTCAGAGTACCAAAAATCCTTAGGAATAATAAAATAGGCGACGTTCAGTTTGTATGTATTATGACGTTGCATGCTGCATGTTTCTCGACTTATGTGTCTCGTTTCTTTTCTCTTATTGCAGAAGGCTCTGCTGGTAAGCGAAACCCCGGCTCTCTCTCGAGCCTTCTCGTTTTCACCGTGCGGGAAGTATTCGCTCGAGTCGATCGTTCGAATGGATCGAGATCAGAACGCACGAGAAGCAAAGCAAAGAGAAGGAGAAAAACGAAACAAAACGCGGCCAACAAGTGCCTTTGTGGAACTCGCCTGCTTCCCTCGCGCGTGTCTTCTGATATCGATCCATTTTTTTTCTTTCTTTTTTTATTATTTTGAGAATGTAGCATCTCTTTCTCCCCTTGTAGTTCGCTAATAATTATCTTGGATATACAGGGTGTTCCATTTTTAACGAGCCAGGCAAAAATAAAAAATGAACGAAAACATGAATCGAAAAATATGAAAGATACCAGGAAACGTTTTAGACCAAAGTTGTATGGTTTCAAAGGGGCATGAAACAAATATATTATTTTGTTTACAGATGACGCCACTTTCGAGATATTCACTGATCATTACTTTTTTCAAATAGAAATTAATTTTAACAACTTTTGTTAAAACATTTTTTCTAAAACATTTTTTCATCTGCTAAATATTTTTTAAGATATTTAAGGAAAACTCAGTAACTTTTGCAATATTCAACTTACGATAGCTCATTAATTATTTGTCGGAAGAAAGGAAATAGCATCAGACTTTTTAACTCTTTGGTCTCAACAATATATATCGTTACAATAACGCCCTAACTTTTGTTAACATATCGACTTGGAAATTTCAAAACCATCAAATTAAGAAAAGTCAGGGCGCTGTTAACAACAATGTATTCTGTTAAGTAACAATGTATTCTTGAGATTAAATGGAGTAAAAGAGTCTAATACTATTTTTTTCCGACAAATAATTAACAAGGTATCGTAAGTTAAACATTTGAAAAGTTACCAAATTTCCCTTAAGTATCTCAAAAAATATTAGACAATTAAAAACATGTTACAGACAAAAGTTGTTCAAATTAATTGGTAGAAAAAAATGGGGGTTTCCATTTACAAAAATTAAATTGATCTTGACCTTGCAGCTGGTGCCTGCTGCCACTCAAAGTCAAATTAATAAGGCTAATAGATAGATAAATAGATAAATTAATAAGGCTAATAGATAGACCTCTTGAAATCTTACAACTTTTGTTCATAACATTTCTTTCAAAAACGTAACTCCTCTAAGATATTCAAGGGTATCCATCTTTTTGACTCACCCTGTATAACTTTTGTTTAAAACGTTTTGTTAATATCTTTCATATTTTTCGACAATTTTGCCTGGCTCATTTAAAATAGGACATTCTGTATATTATTGATAAAGAAATATTCGGGTTATAAAGTAATTAGGGAATTAACACGTAGGAAAATTTTTTTATTGCGAACTCCATGCATTACATTTATTGAAACGTAGCATAATAATAATTAACATTACACGCATAGCAATCATTTAAATTTGCATACTCGGCGCCGTGACGATAATCCTGATTCTGATTTCTTGTCGAGTTTATATCACCGGCATGTTGTCTTACTATACGGGGCGCGAGTGGATCTACATTTTAGAGCAAAAATAGTGGGAAGTGACTCGTGGTATTTTATATTCAATTTTTCACGTCTTGATTATTTCCGCTTACGTGTGGAACAACCGATATAATTTGCATCACCGATTGATTGAGCATTTTTCGTAATTGCAAGAACACACACTGCGACATATATTATCGTAATTTAGTTAACTCAAAGCCGGTATAAACATGAGAAATGCGGCGCACGTACAGGGAATATGTTTAATTCATGAGTCGATAGAGGTAAACCTCTTTCAGTTAAATCCTTAGAGCGTTCGCTCATGGCACATAATAGCCGAGTAGACGTCCGGCGTTCCTTTTTGTAAGATCCAGTAACGACATAAATTTTACTTCGAACGACCTCAACCTTACGTGTGATCACCGCGATGCGGTTTCACGCGGCCGGAAAGTAAACGCCGTAATTATGCAATTATGCAAAGCAGTGAAATTTACTACCATGGGAAATTTTAACTCCCGTGAAAATCGTGGGGATCTCATTAAAGGGCTCCGATGTATATATGTATTATACCTGCACGCTGATCCGAGAGATGCTCCGACAAATTCTGAAAATTTATTTTCTATTGGGCGCTCGTTTGTGACGTCTAATTCAATTCTAACTACCGTTCTGGCAAGATGCGCGACGGTCCTCTTAAATTTTCCGTGAATAATCAAATATCACTCGGTATTTATTCGAAAGGATGCGTATCTTGGGGATGCAAACTATATGGTTGTTAATGATTGCTATTTAATACACTTATTTATCGCGTACGCGCAGAAAAATATTCTGTAGCGACAACTAGAAATTTTCTGTTACATTAGATTCGGTTGCAGAAAGCAGAAAATTTTGTTTTGCTAAAACCGAAGAACCGTCTGCATCAACTGCTTTCGATCGAGGGGACTAAAATCTTCCATCTTGAAAATGTACAGTGAGTGCAAAAAGTATTCGTATAGGAGAGATTTCTTCGAAGAAGTTCTTTCTTATTTTTAGAAAAGAAACAATGGCTTTTATTTAGGTTGTTGCAGATGAAATGGTCCTTTTTCACATTTCAAATTCCCCGGCTGAGTTCTTCAGCCTTTGTCATGCAGTAGTCGTTGGATGTGTGATATATGAAAAGTATATGCCTTACACGCGTGAATTCGCATGCATAACCTTACTTTTATCATATTGTTTATGTCGTTGAAATATTCAACAACAGAACAGAAAGTCTTTTCACAACAGAAAGTGACGTGAAAAGCATTGATGCGCTTATATTTTACGTTAAGGGAAGTGTATTGAGATGGTTGGAGACTAATTCGCTTGACAAGATGTATATAAAGTGTGTCGTGAATAAAAATTCAAAATTCAGATTTCATCAGCAACAACCTAATATGTAATGTTCCTAAATAATTAAATCTATTAGGTTTAGCATTTAATTCTTTCCGATGAAATTTACACAAGTTCAGAGCAGAATTTGAAATTGAAATATTCTCCCGCTCTTTTGCTTGGTTTTAAAGAGTTGACATTTAACTTTTCGAAATGACATATGATTTTGAGGCGTTTGATACACATAACCTCAAATAATCAGTAGTGTTCACAATTATCAACAAAAAGCAATTTCGATACGCGATGCATTTCGCATTTCATTTAAACAAAAACGCTTCTGAAGCAGCCAAAATGATTTGTGCTGAACATTTCGAAGTGGTGATTCACGACTAACAACGCCCCGGTCAGTCAAAAAAATTTGAAGATGGGGGAGTTGCAAAATCGATTGAACGAGGATACAGCACAAACACAAGAACTTGCGGAAAAGCTGGGAGTAAGTCAGCAAGTTACTTGCGATTGTTTACACCGTGTGGGAAAGATACAGAAAGAAGGGAAGTGGGTTCCACGCGAGTTAACCGTTGACAACAAAAATCGCTGATTGACCATATGTGTTACTTTTCTCGCTAGATAACAAAAAGAAAGATTTTTTGCACAAAATCGTAATTGGTGACGAGAAATAGATTATGTATGAAAATCCTAAACGCAAAAATCATGAGTAGACCTTGGTCAACCGACAACGTCGACAGCAAAATCCAAACGTTTCGGAAAGAAAGTTCTTCGCTGTATATGATGGAACCAGAAGGGTGTGCTGTACTATGAGTTCTTGGAACCGGGTAAAACTATTAATCCTTTGAGGCACGTATTTTTCAGAAAATCCGAATCACATGAAAATTTATATATGGGGGTTTCTGAAGTCGCTGATGACGAATCCGTTATCAGATTTTGAAAGTCAAGATGGCGGATCCAAGATGGCGGACGCAAAGATGAAAAATCGCGATAATTTCGATGACAATGGGTATTGTGGGGTTTTTGGAGTCGCTAATTACGAATCCGTTATCTGATGTTCAAAATTCAGGATGGCGGCCACAAATATGAAAAATCGCGATAATTTTGGTGACAATGAGTTTTGGACCTCGGATTCGTAATCAGCGACCTTGAAAGCTAACCAAAGTACAATTTCAGCTAATCATATAAAAATTTTATGGTCCGCCATCTTGGAAAATAAATTTTAGAATTTAGACCTCAGATTCGTAATCAGCAAGCTCAAAAACTAACCAGAATACAATTTTAGCTAATTTTATGTACATTCTATGATCCGCCATCTGGAATCCGCCATCTTGGAAAATGAGTTTTAGAATGTGGACCTCAGATTCGTAATCAGCGACCTCAAAAACTAACCAGAATATAATTTTAGCTAATTTAATAAAAATTCTATGATTCGCCATCTTAGAAAATTAATTTTGGAATTTGGACCTCAGATTCGTAATAAGCGACCCAAAAAACTCCCAAATCTTGATTTTGAGCAAAAAATTCATTCATAGCTCGTGGGAAATGATTTTTTTTTGTAAAAATGTGTATTTTTCACACTTTGTTTATTTATAATAAATGGCTAACTTATGCAAAACACTTTTCAACCTTTCATGTATGTTCCCATATAAGAAGCTAAAAAACGCAGAAAACCCGACAAGAATTTCTCAAATATGAAATATTTCACGAAAATGTGAGAATAAATAGGTGGTAAGTATACTTACCACTATGCCTCAAAGGGTTAAAGCAGAATTTGCCAAGAGCAATTGATACGTTTGAGCAAGGCAATTGAGAAAAACAGGTCAGTTACTGGACAAGGCAGCCATAAAGTCATTCTGCTGCGCGATAATGCTAAATCGCATACAGCAGAAGCCACAAAAGAAACGATCTTATACTTGGGCTGGGAAATTTTTCCACACGCGGCGTATTCTTCAGACTTGTTGGTTTCATCAGATTTTCATTTGTTTCGGTCAATGCAACCATAGACATATAATATCTAGACCGCGCGGTCTCAACGTCTCCCTTTGTTAGAACGCGTCAGAAATAAGAAAGAGATGGTTGCTGTACGAGTACCATTCTGTCTTTTTCTAAAGACGCGTGGTAGGGTAAAGAAGTTTTTGGTGAGGAACGAAAAAGGATGGTAGAAGGAAGCGGAACGATATACATAATCCCCACTCCAAACATTATCAGACGAAGATAGAATGGTACCCCAAAGCATGCTCTCTTTTTCTAATATTTGACGACTTTTCGGCCGAATGTGCGGTCTAGTTATTATACGTCTATGGATGCAACCATGCACTGTCTGATATACATTTTCCGATACAGTGATATACATTTTCCGATATACAGTTGACGACGGACGAGATTTCATCAATGACTTTATAATCTCAAAGCCAGCAAGTTTCCACCATGATGGTATTCGGCAGTTACCCAATAAATAACGTAAGGTCATCGATAACAACGGAGAATATTTAATTGATTAATCTTGTCCTATTGATTTTTAAATAAAGATTTAAAATTGTCGAAAATCGAAAAGAATTAACTACTAGACTTTATCCTCCTCAATCACTGGAGCTCAATGTTAATGAACATTTATGGAAAATGTTTGGAGATGCTATTGAGAAAAGACAGATTTCTAATAAAAAAAAAGTTAAGAACAGTTCTCCAGGAAGAATGAAACTCTGTCCCATCAACTGTCACGCAAAAATTAGTGCAATCGATGAACTGAAGATTACGAGGTATAATTAGTGCTAACGGGTATCTTACAAAATATTAATAAGTTGTTTGAATTAAAAAAGAAGGATACGAATATCTTTTTCCACGCATTGAATTAATATAGGTTTTTGTTTTTGTAGATTATCTGGACGGTATATTTCAATAATCACATTCTTTTTGTTACAATAATATTTGCTTCTCTTCTTTTTGTTAGAATAATTTTATTATCCTTTTTGTTATAAGAATATTGCGCAATATAGTATATATTACATTCACTATTAATATATTGTTAATTAATCCTTTAATGCATGGTGGTAACCCACGTTACTAAACTTCTTTACTTTTTGGCCGTTTATTATCTAATTAACGCATTTAGATCGGTTTTTTGCATTTTACTGGTATCTTAAGAATAGAAAAATATAAAAAAATAGTTTAGGAAGACTTGTTATTTATTGCAAAAGTTTTATAAATAAACAAAGAGCAAAAAAACCCATTTTTTCTGATCTCGGATCAGCGATCCAAAAAACCATTGTATACCAAATTTCATAAATAACGGATCAACAGAAAAATGTATGCTTCAAAGGGTTAAAGTTCGTTTTCTAAAGATAAGAGCTTTCTCAAAGAAATTTCCCCTGTACAATTACTTTTTGCACTCCCTGTAGTTATCGCAGCGGAATATTCGACTACTCTGACAGAAGGCGTTGGAACTATATCATATATGTAATGAGAAATCTCAGTCACCGCGCGACCGAAGAGATTCGTTTGAGGAAGCTGAATGACGTTGCGATTTTCAACCCGACCGCGCAAGTGTTTTCCCCTTCCACTTACGTACGCAAGGACGCTCTGTTTACCCGTATGAAGAATGAAACTTGTAACCTTGACAAGATTAATATTTGCTTCGGGTGACCGAATACATTTCTGAGACAACAGAAACTTTCTAACGGAATGTCTCTTGCAACTAAATTTCCAGTTGATTCCTGAGGAGCGGAAGCTTTCGGTATTGTCGCAACAGAATTTTGATTATGTCAATCGAATAGTTTTCTGCGTGTACTCTCTTGATTTCTCGGAGTGAAATTCGCTGAAGAAGCAGAGTGACGTTCGAGTAGCTCGAATTCGAGTGAAGTTTCATTCGACGAAATGAAAGAGTGAACATCCGGGTATAAATTTTCCGCTCACTCTGCAGAATGAATTCCTCGCTCCGAATCGAGTGAATATCTTCACTCGCAGTCGAAGGGTAAATTTGTCGCCACCGTAGGAACGAATCTCATCTCACTCTCTGATCGATCGAAACTCGCTCATGCGGAGCCAAAGAGATTTCGAGCGACGTTTCGCTCTGAGCAATTTAGATGGTAGCTGCACGAGCAGATAAATATGCATAAGTAGTCAACATGTAGCCTTGACAACGTGTACTTTAGCATAGTAGGTATAGCTAGATTATTTACTTCTTCGCACATATTCTCCGACGTACAAAAACCGTCGTTTACTTGCTCCCCTGATCCCCCCTCTTTTCGATGTGGTATCCACGCTTGGTCCACCGCAAAAAGCATCCTCCTTAAGCTTTTCGACGACGGGCTCGTTCTTCGGGGTAAAGAATTGGCGTCGATTGCATTCGCTTTCATTCGCACCCGCAGATTCCAAGTGTTCCGTGAAGCAATGCCAAGACGATAAATTACGGACGCGACGGGTGAAATTACACGAAAACAAGACGCCGGCATTTTGTATTATTTTATCCAGATCACCAAGACGCTCTCGTGAATGTTTACCATCACGAGATTTCTGTTCCGCCTCGTTGATTAATTAACGAAACGGCGAACCCGCCACTTCCGGACCGCGTTTCGCAGTACCAAAGTCTTTACCTTCGAGCCAGCGCGTCGAAGGAGTACGTCCTAGACGGAGTTGCTAAGTATTCTCTCGTCTCTTTCGACAGGTGAAGAAGATGCAGGACAGGGTGCAGAAAACGAAGGAGGAGGTGCAAAAGGCGAAAGAGAAGTACGAGGCGGCGCTTCAGGAGATCAATCAGTACAATCCGAAGTACATGGAGGACATGACGCAAGTGTTTGAGAAGTGTCAGGAGATGGAGGCGCAACGGCTTCAGTTCTTCAAAGACGTCCTGTTCGGGATCCACAAGTGTCTGAACATCTCGCAGGATCCGGTGTAAGTTCTTCTCCATTACCGCGCGTGACTGTCCGCGTCGCGCAGCATGCGACTGTAGGTTTTCAGGGTATCTCCTGTTCCACGAATAATCAAGCGATTGTTCATTGTATCATTCAATATCGGCCGCGGTCATTTAATGCCTTGACTATGGCGCAAACGCGATACTGCGTGTCCGACCTAAAATTGAAAAATGTAAGTTTCGCGGAAACTTTGAAATGTTGTATTTCGGGGCTGTTGAGAATGCTCTTTTCGATGGTGAACTTTCAAGCTAAAAATATAAAATAGCGAGTCTTTAACCAACATGAATGACCGAAGTAAAGTGTTATTCACACATTATATAACTTATCATTATAAATTATAGTTATTCGTTATTTCGTTTTATTTTGTTTTACTTTATAGATTTCAGATAAAAATTTTCTGCGTCTTCACACTATTTAATTTTTTTCTTTTTTTTTCCATAACAGATGTCCAGTTTTATTTTGACGAAATATTAGGAGTATGATTTAATTTTGCGGTTTTATTTTCTTAAAAACCGATTTACTTAAACAAGATAATGAACGAATACCTTGATCAAAATATTTTCCTTCGTCTCTGCAACTTTTTTCAATCTTTCTGACAACAGATGGATTCTGCGACGATAAAAAGATTTTTCTTTGGAGTTGATCCAATTTCCAACAAATTTCCACACTTTTTCAAAGTTATGAAAGTATGTATTCTGTAGAACAGAGTTTTCCAATCTTTCTTGTATTTCGCATCCCTAAAAATTTATTAATGGACCCTCGCACCCCCTACAAAAAAATGTTATTCGTATATTTTATGGTAAAAATTAGTTGTTAGGGTTTTAAAGTAAGAACTTAATTTATAATAATTTATTATTACATTATTTCATTTATTACATTTATTATTACATTAGTATTGTTTTATAGAAATTAACTATCATTTTAATATTATAAAATTATTATCCATGGTATCAAGCTTCGCATAATGGTACATAATGAATATACATGTACAGATGCGTAAAAAATATATAATTTTAATAACTTTTTTTTTAATTTGATGGTAAAAATGCCGGGCTATTCTAGAATTCATCTTAATCATTATTAATTACAATCACTTTTCCTCGCACCCCCAAGAATGTTTTTTCGCACTCCCAACGGGTGTGAGCACCCCCGGTTGGGAAGCCATGCTCTAGAACATGTTGCACCGACCGGAACAAGTGCTAATCGAATGGAGAATGTCTGGAGAATACGTAGGGTGCGGTAAGACTTTCCATTCCAGCTCTAATAGCATTTGCTTCACTGATAATGCAACATGAGGTCAAGCATTGTCATGAAAAAGGATCACTTTACGTTGTTTACTCGCAATTGGTGATCGTTTTTGGTCCAATGCTCGCTTCAATTTGTATAATTATTGTCGATAACGATCAGCGGTGACAGTTTCAGTCGGATTTAACAGTTCATAGTACGCGACGCTTTCTTGATTCTATCAAATACACAGCAATACCTTTGAACCGTGAATATCACGCCTCAAAGTGGATGTTACTGGTTGGCCTGGATCAACCCATGATTTTTTTCGTTTCGGATTATCAAAATAGATTTATTTTTCATTCCCAGTAACAATTCGATACAAAAAACTCTTTACTTTTTGTCTAACGATCAATGAAATGCAAATGTTCAATCGGTTCGCAATAGCATTTTCCGATAATTCATGTGAAACACATTTTCCATCTTTGTGAATCTTTCTCATATCATGTAAACGTTTAGTAAACTGTTGTACGATCAACACTTAATGCTTCGGCAAGTTCTGAGGTGGATTGTGCTGGATTTTCGTCCAATAATGTTTGCAAATCTACATTTTCAAGCTTTTTTAGTTGTCCCGACCTTTGTCGTTAATATTAGAATGACCACTTTTAAATCTGAACCAATATTCACACGTTTTAATTAATGGAGCAACATCACCATAAGTTTCTATCAGAATTCTATAACCTTCAGTCGCCGTTTTCTTCCGATTAAGAAACAAAAGTAACGCGTGTCGAAAATGCTTTAGGAAATGCTTTAGGAAGCTCCATTTTTAAGATGGTATTAACACGATTTTTATTGCATCCATTGTTAGTAAGTGTCTAAATATCATGGATTAATATTAAAGCATTAAGAAAAAATAACTGTGATTAGAATATCTTCGACAAAACTGACATTAGTGCTATCTCTTGTAAAATCCTCAAAACTAAATCACATTCCTAATAAAAGTATAATTTTAGTTGCCATATTGAGACTACCATCTTGAGCATTTAAGAGATTTTGCCTTCATATTCCTAAACAGTGAGCTCAAAAACCTCTAAACACAACATTTTAATGTCATTGATTAATTTTTGGTCCGTATTTTGCCAGCTTAAGCACTTTTGCGAAATTTAGCTTGCCACAGTCATGGGACGAATGAACGCAAAGTTGGGATTTTCAGCGATCGTTCGAGTTAAATCAAGCCGGGGTTTCAATGCAGTGTGCCGTCGTGTGCGTTACAGATATTGTTATCGTTGTTATTATATCACCGCTGACGCTGTATCGCGATTTTCCAGGCTGCCGCAGATATACGAAGAATTCTATCATACGATAAACAACGCCGACCATGAGAAGGACCTCAAGTGGTGGTCGAATAATCACGGCGTGAACATGGCTATGAATTGGCCGCAGTTCGAGGTGAGTCGCCGGACGCTCGTCGTCACCGTGCACTAACGAAAGCTCTACTGTCGCATGTAACAGCCCTGCTCGTGGTTGAAGATCTGTTGTTAGACAACGTATAGCTGTAGCGTGGACTGAATATTACTCTATAGCTCCCCCCCCTTTTTTACAACTTCCCCCTTTTTACAATTTCACTTACTCGTTACTCGTTGGTCGTTATGTGCGCTTCGGTGTACTTCTCTTCTTTTATTCCTGGCGCTCGGCCCGAGAGAAGGAACGAAACATTGACATTCGTCGCGGTTTCTCGGAATATGCAGACTAAAGCATATCGGTATCTCGGTAAAAAGTAAACGAAGCTTGAAAGAGTAGTTATCGCCTACGTTAACGAGCGGGATGTTGCACCGGTTGTGCACGAGAATGAACGACGACGCGAGGAAATTGTACGTATCTTCGCGTATGTTCGCGCTCAAGTAACGAGTAGAACTCAACACTCTCGGGCAGAAGAGAACGGGCGTGCTCTTAATCAGCGTCTTTAACCCTCATGTTCGCCCCAAACTGTAATTATTGTGTTATATATCAAACAACGCTTCTGTATAATCGCCTCTCTGAGGAGATACTGGACAAAATAAGTATGCACCTCCAACATTTTCACGTTTGCGTGAATAACTTGGCAGTCTTGATAGATAAATAAGAAATATATTCGGACAAAAAGAAATTTCTTAATCTATTTTCAAGTTTCAAGTGAAAAAAATTCAAAAACATTAAAAATCCTTCAGTCAAATTCGTTACATTTATCATATTTACTTTGGACAAAATAAAATACGCAGGTAATAACTAGGAGCAAATTAAAGGTAAAATTCAAAACTAGTATTTGGTATCGCCGCCTTTTGCTTGTATGATCGTTTGCAAACGTCGAGACTTACTCTTGACAAGATTTCAAATGTATTGCTCGTCGATGTTTTCCTGCGCTTCTTCCAAGGTTCTTCAAACAACTTGATTTTGTTCGTTATGTCGCTCTTGTCAACCTTCTGGCCTAAAATGGACCATGGGTCTTCAATTAGGTTTAAATATGGTGATTGCGCTGGCCAATCCAGCAGTTTTATTCTCAAATCACGGAAAAAGGCAGTAGTTTTACGAGCGGTATGATTTGAATCATTAGTTTGTTCGAAGATAAAGTCATCTTTCAGACCAATCTTTAAAAGAAACTTCCAAATTTTCGTTGAGGATGTCAGTGTATATATTTGTTGCCATAATGCCATTGACCTTGACCAGATTTCCCAAACCTGACTATATAAAATACTACAATATTGCTTCCTCCATGCTTGAGTGTCTTGTGGATATTTTTACCCAAAAATTTTTTGCCAGGCTGTGGTCAAACTCGCAGTCGTTGTTTATGATCGAAGAGGTCAAACTTACTTTCGTCACTCCAAATCACTTTATTTCAGAAGTCTAGTGGCTTATCAGTATATTTTCAGTATATCTTCTGGTATCAGTATATTTTCTGGCGAATTTTAAATGTTTGATCTTCTTGGCCTTTCGGATCAAAAAGTGACACAGTGCAAAACTGTTCTTCAGCCCAGCTTCCGAGGGTTTCCTGCGTACAGTTTGTTCAGAAATGTTAAATGGAACGTTTTTCAGAATCACATGACTGGTAACAGTTAGATTTTTCTTGAATGATTCTGCGATCCTGGACTGAATTTGTCTTCCTCTTCCATTTGCGACCGGTCTTATTCGTTACTATGCCGAACTCCAGAAATTTTTTCCAGATCATCCTGACTGCAGCTTCACTTATGTTGTACTTTCGACTAATTTTCCTATTAGAGAGTTCCTTCTGTCTTTAACTATCAAGTTTCGAATTTATACAGGAATTTGTTTAGTTTTTATAGTTATTGATGAAAAATCGATACACTCTTTCTAATGGCATAAATAACTAACAGGATAATTATCAGTACATTATTTATACAATTCTATTTATTTCCAACAACATCGAGAGATAGTCTACATATTCTTACTAATGAAATTAAATAAACGCCTTAATGTGTACTTTATTTTGTCTAAGGCAAATATGATAATAAATGTAACCAACTTGACTACTGAAGAATTTCTAATGATTTTGGAATTTTTTCACGTAAAACTTAAAAGTAAACTATGAAATGTTCTTTCTGTCCGAATATATTTCTCTTCTATCTGTCAAGATTGTTGAATTATTCACGCAAACGTAAAAATATTCGTGGTACATATTTTATTCTGTCCAATACTGTACCTCGCTTACAAAATTTCGTTCTTTTCGAATTTTCTCCTTTTTGTCTCCTTTCCCTTTTTTTATTTTTCAACCCGTAATCAAGATTGTATCTTTCGAGCACGCGATATCTTACGGATTCGAGTTTCTCGGGCAAGACTCTATATCGATTGAGATTATCAATGGCGCCAATCCGGAAGTCAGACCGAATGTTTCTCCGCACCACCGGAAGCCTCAAACGTCCGATAAAGTTATCAGTTGAAAAGACGATCGTTGTACATAGCGCGAGTTCTTTCATCGTCTGCTTGTACTGATTACGGGTTACGGGCATCAGTGTTGCCGATTATACTTTTTTTCATTCTTTTGTTATCGACAATTGTTCGTCGTTTAACTAACTTACATCCGACGCTTTGCGTCGAATAGCTACCTGTGTCTCGCTGCTACACGTGCGATCGAATTTGTCGTCCATTCAAACGACATCGTTACATGTGCCTTTTAGCCTATATCTTGCCCCTCGGCCCCCGCAAACGCGCACTACCCGAGGGTTAAATTCGTTGCGAGAGTAACGCCCAGTCCCCACCGTCAGCGATAATAACGCTTAAAACGTACAAAGAATGTAGAACGAGAGAAAAGAGAGACGGTGAAAGAGAGAGAGAGAGAGAGAGAGAGAGAGAGAGAGAGAGAGAGAGAGAGAGAGAGAGAGAGAGAGAGAGAGTGCGAGTGAGAGAGAGAGAGGGAGAGAGAGAGAGAGAGAGCGAGAGAGAGGGAGAGAAAGAGAGAGAAAGAGAGAGAGGGAGAAAGCCCACAACTCCGGAATGCATGCATGTGATTGTTTTGGGACATTATGCTATTATGCAGGACTACACAGAGGAGTTCCGCGAGATCACGAAGGGCTCGAAGTCGAAGGAGGCGCTCCCGGCAGGCTCCATCACTCTCATCAATCAACGCCCGGTCGGCGAGGATCTGCATGTAAAGTTCTGTTACGTTTACACGACGCCGTACAGAGACACAGACACAGACACAGACACAGTTACAGTCACTTTGAATGTTGAACCCCGCGCACCCAAAACCTACTACCCTCTACACGTCTCTCTGCCTGTTACTTTGTACATCGTCCTCAATGTCGACGAGCCCGTCCCGATCGAGCATCGGTGACCGGCCGATTGCGATCGGCTAAGCACGCGACCGCTCTTAACGGACGTCCCCAGCCGCGGTCGCTCAAGACACACGCTGGGCGCGCGAGGTCATCCAGGATGGGTTTCCTTTCTCAGCCTTCTAGCTCGCTAGCTGCCCTAACCGAATTAACCGTAATCCGCTGCGCGCGCTTGTACTCGCACATAACCACGGATCTGCGCCTGAGGTGAACACGGACTGTATAGGCTTGGTCAGGTAGAGGAACGAATTTACAAACCGGAGAGGCGCAACAAAAACCGGAGAACCGTCGTAGCGGCAGACACGTCATAGAGGATCGCGCCGACGAGAGCAGGATATTTCTCAAGCCGATTCTCGTGGTCTCTGGACCTTGATCGGACTTTATTCGCCGATATTGAACTTGCCAGCGGATGTCCATATCTCTTACCGCCAAAATGTCCAGATTATGAAATCCTATTCCTATTATCTACTTATACAGGGTATCCGAGATCTCTTGGAAACGAAAAATTATGAAGATTAATCGGGTCAAACTGAGAAGAAAAGTTCTGTACCATTTTGCAAAAATTGTAATAGTTATTAGGTCAGAGTTGAAAATGATCAGGCTCTTTTAATCGATAACTTGAAAATTTGCAAAATGGTAAAAGAACTCTTTGTTCAGAATGACCTGATCTACAATTATATGACGGCTATTGTGTCTAGCGATAGATACGAATATATTGAACTTTGAATCTTGAATCTTGGACCTGTCGCTAGGCACAATAGCCGTCATATAATTTTAGAGTGGGTCATTCTGAACAAAAAAGTCCTTTACCATCTTGCAAATAAATACACAAATTTTCAAGTTATCAGTTAAAAAAGCCTCTAGATGTTATTTTCAATCATTAATAATTTGATAACTATTGTATCTTTTTCAAAATAGTAGCACTTGACCTTTCTTCTTTATTTGATCTAATTAATCTTCACAATTTTTCATTTCCAAAGGATCCCGGACACCTTGTATATTCTTCAAAAAATATATTTTTACGAGATACATTTCCAGGTTTTCCTTCTTTTTCTTTTTTAGCGTTTATACGAATTTTTTAATTTCCAAATTGCAAACCTAGTTTCGACGTGTCTTTTTCGTAACGAATTCAGTATCACGTCAGATTCTAGATTTAAGAAAACCTGCTGTTGCCATAAGCGATTTATAAAAGAATCCGTCATTGTAAAATCAAAGTGATTAAGCGGAAACATTCAGAACTCAACAAAAACGATCATCTCTAGTTTTCAGTTGAGAAAAGCTTTCATAGAATCTTTTATAGAAAAATTCTCCGATCCTCGAAAGTTTGTAAATTCGTTTTCTTTTTTTTTAAGATGCTCATAATACTGCTCATAGTATATACGGTGCATATATATATATATGGTCGCTATAATATTATTTAGAAAATAGAAATAAGAGAATCACATCGAGAGCTTAACAGTAAGTCACATATGCCTGCAACCGATTGTCAGAGTCACCTGCGATATCTGCATGTTCCACGTGCTTAAAAATATACAAATGAAGGCCTCATTGCGAGATCAAACGACCGGATTAATATCGAATCAAATTCATTTCGTGAATGGAAAAATTACACTGCGCAGTCAGTCTCAGAACTATCACAACTTCTTTTAGGATTTTCGTCGCGGATTTCTTCACCTCGCGTGAATCATGTTGTAGAGTTCAGTGGTCTTCAATTTAACACGTGGCATGATCAAGATGCTCCATTTGAAATAACCACATTGGCAATCTATATAGCACCAGCTTTCGTTAAAGGAAACGCGATAGTTATGGGTCGTTCTGTGTACGTCCTCCCTATACAGTACAAAAGTTGCAACAATGTTGCAATATTGCTGCAACTTTTGTGCTGTATGGGTCGCATGGTGTATCATAAAACGCACATATTGATCTGTCTTTATGTCATTATCATTCTTCGCATAAGAACATCTCGTTCGAAACGTCTGCCATCGGTAACGACGCATCTATAACTCAAAATTGATTACTTTAGCTACGATCCACATCGCATTAACTCTGATTCGTTTCACAAGGCGCAGCCTCAGGTCACAATGTGCTTTGTAAATACGCACCTTTCGCGCGAACCGACCAAATTGATTGCAATAGGGGTCCCTTTCAAGTGGGAACTATCTTCTCCATAAAGAATATATAAAGAGACTCAACTCGTAGCTCGATGAAGCGTAGCGCTCGCCCAAGGACGCACAGCTGAACTGATCAAAATTGAAGTAGAAGCAGACTCCCGTGTGTTCGACGCGCGAAAGTTTGTTGAGAAGATAGAGTATACGCGCGGCAAAGTACCGGATGGCTTTGACTTGACGAGATGGCACGTCACATCGTCGGCATGCTCACGAAAGGCGCGAGATAATCGCAGCGAGCGACTCGAGTCGAGTACGGAACATTTGGTTGCACGCATGGCGTTTCTTTCGAGATATTCCGTGCACCGGCCGCTGTGCACGCTGTGCAAACTTCAATGAAGTTGGGTCTAACACGCCTGCTTGTTCAAATAGGAGTTTCCGCCAGTGAATAACAAATCAAAATCGAAGTCCGCTGGCCGGGTGATATCGGCGGACGGCAATCACGGGGACAGCAAAACGGATACAATCACCTCCAGCAAACAGCCCTCGGAGAAGAATAATCATGAAACAGATAGCGTCAACAGGACCTCAACGATCACGTAAGTACTCGCTGGCAATGTCCACGAGCAATCTGTTCATTTGGTCGAAAATGCCGATTGTACGAAATATGCGATTGTTGCAGCAATGGCACTAACGCCAAGCAAGAGTCAAACCCGTTCGAGGAGGAGGAGTGGGATGAGGATGGCGGGGAGCCATTGGTCGACAATGGAGAACCCGGGGTCCCCGTACGGGCGTTGTACGATTACGAAGGAGCTGAAGCGGACGAGCTCAGTTTTAAACAAGGTACGTACAATGCGTACTTTCAGCATTGAGAGAAATCTGGGAGTCAACCTGACTCAATTGACATGTTATCGTAAAATGTATACACAGCTATAAAAAAAAAAAATGCCGTGACTCTCGCAGAGTTCTCGTCGTGATTCTGCAAAGGAAATAAGCTGTCGAAACTAAATCTAAATTTTATTAAACCAATTTTTTTTCTACCCAACGAAATGCTGGTTGATACCGATATGATACAGCTTTTCCAATTTGTACTGTTTTTCTATTTAGTTATACAGGGAGTCCCATTTTGAAAAATGAGCCAGACAAAAATCTCGAAAAAGATACTATGAAAGATACTAAGAAACGTTTCAAATAAGAGTTGTATGGTTTCAAAGGGGACGTAAAACAACTATATCATTTTACAGATAGCGCCACTTTCAAGATATTTACTGATCATTATTTTTCTTTTTAAATTTTAAATCGAAATCCCAATTTTTTATTATATCATTTTTTTCTATCAATTTTAACAATTTTTGTCTTATTGAAACATTTTCTTATATCGTATATTGTCGAATATTTTTTGACATATTTGAGGAAAACTTGGTAACTTTTTCAATATTTAATTTACGATATCTCGCTATTTGTCGGAAGAAAAAGTGTTACTAGACTTTTTTACTCCATTTGGTCTCAAGAATATTGTTGCGGTAGTGCCAAAACTTTTGTTAACTTATCGACTTGGAAATTTAAAAATCATCAAATTAACAAAAGTCAGGGCACTGTTGTGACAATATATTCTTGAGACCAAATAGGATAAAAAAGTCTAGTATCACTTTTTCTTCCGACAAACAGCGAGATATAAGTTAAATATTGGAAAAGTTATCAAGTTTTCCTTAAATATCTCAATAAATATTAGGCAAATAAAAAAATGTTTTAGATAAAAGTTGTTCAAATTAATTGGTAGAAAAAGATGTTATAATAAAAAAATTGGGTTTCCACTTAAGGCAGTGTCCTGGTTTAGAAGGCGAAAAATCGGTGAAAAATTTTCAAGAATTTTTTCAGAGAGAATGAAATAATCCATTTCTGTAAACGTTTAGTTACATATTAATATACATTTTAACAATACAAAAAATTTTTTGTCAAATTATTTAAAAATGGGGCGGAGTTACGTGACAATCAAAGCGCCTCGCTCCGATTGGCGGGACAAATGGAGTTCGTAATTTTTGTCTAAAACAGAAAAACCAAAAATATTTTTAATTTACATGTATTTTTATAGTCGATGAACTAAAAAAACTAAGAAAAAAGCATAAAATCATACAAATGTATGAACTTAAACGAAAAAGTGACAATTTTAGAAGAAAAATTTTGCGTTCTCTATGCAATAAGATGCAAGAAATTGTTTAAATTAAATTTTGACCGTTTTCTTTAGTTCATTTAGGATGATTAATACCCTAGAGAATAAACTTTGGTTTGGGTCGATAGGTCAAATAGTGTTTTTGCTATCTTGCTCGTCAATTTGGTAAAATCACAAAACTAATATTTCGAGAAAACGCGAGTTAAAGTTTTCGCTAGAAAACAATATCAATTATTCGTTACTTACAACAATCTAATCTTAATCAGATATTCCAGGTCCATACAAGAGTCCTTCAACTTGTTCAAAAAATCTTGTTCCTGCATTTCCTACATTGTACATGCTGTACAAGCCTCCTTGCTGCTGCTTCGTTGGCGCCGACCTTCTCGTGTAATTCGGCGCGCGTCGTATAGATCAACGAAAATCTTACACTGCTAGCCAATATTGAGTTCCAGCAAATTCATCATAGTTAAAATAGCTGTGTAACTTTCGTTAAAAATGCCTGCAGCAATGTAAGCAGTCAATTCTACGATTTTAGCGCCCGAATTACGCCCGAAGGTGTCTTGGAGCGATGCGCCACACAGTAGAGTTAAAATTCTCGTTAAAATTCTGTGTATGCTCGTCCAAACATCTTGACAACAGATCGTCCTTGTCCAAAGATCCTTATAGATAGGCGTGATATGTTTTCCAACATCCAGATGAATAACTGGTGGCGGGTGCTTAAAAGATTGTAATTGATCTGTGGCTTCGGCTTGACGCCACTCACACCAACTGTCGGCTCCTTCAGGGCAGTTTGCATGCCTTGGTTTCGTATCCGTTGAGCAATAATGATCTAATGTTGCCATTATTGCTTTTTTCATACTAACAACGGAATTCACATTTTTTCTTATAGCTAAGCCATAATAGTTTGCTAATCTTTTAATAAGTACGTCCATCAGTCGTCCCTTTCAACTAAAATATTGTTATATAAACCATTTTGAATTTTTGCTAAGCATTATAAAAAAAAAGTTAAAAAATAGGGAGAGCGGCCTGCTTCGGCTAAGCGTTTTTCTAGCTGCGCAACACTTATCTGCTCTCGGCTCTGTAACTTTCGTAATACGTCCCAACGGTCCTTAAAACTTTGGGAAAATATTTTTCAATAGTTAAACTATCGATTTAAGAAAAAAAAAATCGATTTTTTTGACCTTCTAAACCAGGACACTGCCTTAACAAAAGTTACAATACAGTGAATATCTCGAAAGTGGCGCCATCTGTAAGTAAAATGATATAGTTGTTTTATATCCCCTTTGAAACCAATTTTCGTCTGAGGCATTTCTTAGTATCTTTCATATTTTTCGAGATTTTCGTCTGGCTCATTTAAAATGAGACATCTGTACAAAAGGATTGTAAATACTTTAATAGAATGAAAGTACAAATATCAATGGATTAAGAAATTATATTACATATTATATTACATGTTATATAAAAAACAAACAGGTTGTTTATTTACAAAGCTTTTTTCACTTATAACTTGAGATATTTCTCAATTTATTAACATTCGTACTGTCATTCTGCAAAGAACATTTGCAATTTTACATAATCAAATGGAAAAAAGCGTAAACTACCAAAGCTGTATTACATTCCACGTTTTCTCTAGACGCGACGCAGTTCGTTTCGCTTTATTTTGTGTATACCATTTACATAGTTTATGTGACACTGCTTACAATTACATTTAATATTTAAATATTCACCACTCTTTCAGGAGATGTATTCGAGAAGCTAGAAGATGAAGACGAGCAAGGATGGTGTAAAGGCAGAAAGGATGGCAGAGTGGGTCTCTATCCAGCGAATTACGTAGACCTGGTATCGCAATAAATTAACGACACGAAGCCAAATCCACAAGTTCGTTAGTTACTTAATGTGTAAACTCCGCCGAGAATAAGATTTCCGCGTTTCGTTTCTTCTCGCCGTTCTTTTATGTGGCGAGTTGAAATCCACGAAGGCGCTGAAACGTCAGTCTTGCGTCGCGCTAGGTATGCGAGGAAACGACACGTTAGATGAAGGACGAGTTAAAACTCGCAGTCTAACTTCCAGGCAAACGAGTTTCGGAGTTTAACTACTAGGCGCGAATTAATTATCTGCATTTATTGAGTTGTGTAAACGATGAGAGAAGCGATTTCGTTCCGAGATCCTTTTACCGCGTCGGAGGCAACTAGCGGAGTTATGATTTAAACGTACAGCTTTCCACACAAAGATTCCTCGCCCCTTTCACTCAAGATGAAATTTGTTTTTAGATAGCTAGGTTAGACGAAACCCCCCGCGCTAGTTAGTCTCAGTGGATAAATATGGATTATACACGTGTGTCGCGTGCATATAGCGAATTTAAGTATTGGAATATTGTACATGCGCGATTTATGACTCATTACCATTGTTATAACTAAGAATCGTTTTGGCTGCTGCGACAAGAGTTCTATTTAATTTATTGTTATTAAAAAGAAAAGTACTATTAAAGCAACTAATGTCTATCTGAATGGTGTCATTGTACATAATAGGTTTAAGAGCATAGCAATACGTGAAGTTATTATGGTCGTTTAACGAATTTGAGGCGTTAAGGTGTTGCGAAGAGTACGAGCATATGGACGACACGAGAAAACTTCAAATTGCGTGTGAAGTTAATATACGAATTAAAGAAATTCGGGACCCAGAAGAAAAGTCGACGTTCTATTTATTACTGAAACCTTATAGTTGATGGTAATTTGACAAAACAAACTTGATGCTTTGCCACAAGAGAGAGAGAGAGAGAGAGAGAGAGAGAGAGAGAGAGAGAGAGAGAGAAAGAGAGAGAGAGAGAGAGAGATACTTGGGCAAAAAATATATATATTATATATAAATTACGAATGTTACGTTATACCGAAAGAATATTTTCATCTAAAGTACGTTGTGTACATAATTTGTTTTTATATAGGTCCAATAATATTAGGAAATCGTTTTTCTGAGAGAAAATTGAGGTTTAGTTTTTATTTAATCGAGAACAATTCTTGTATATTTCGAACTATGTACTATTTGAAGAGAGAGAAATATGTGGAAATATCTCTTATTAAAGTCATTATACTTGAATAAGTGTAACATCTATCAAATGGAACTATAATGAAACGTGTAAAATCAAGTCAAAGTGGAATTAATTTCTCTGAAATTCAATACATAAAATTCCAGAGCTGTAGAGCATGTGAATCATCATATAAGGAACAATGCACAGCTGATGATTTTATTTCAAGAAATCCTGATTCATCTTGCAAAAGATGTTTCCAATTTATTTAATTGCAGTCACACACTGAGATGCTTGATTCATCATTATTATAATATACATTGAAGAGAAATAAAACAAGGTATTCACTACGAATACATTGTGTCTATGTACACAGTATTTATGTAAATATCGTAGAGCATAGCGACATTTTCGATTCAATCCGACTGATTTTTATAATCATACATTTATTAATCCTCCAAATTACTTTTTGTGAAGTGTTCACAACTCCATACAGTTGTTAAGTAGACTCTAGCTTGTGTATAAAATTTATTGTGTATGTCTAATAAATGATACTTATACATAAGACGTCCTTTAGATTTACCTGTATATACGTCCTATGTATTACGTTAGACAATATAATTTTTTACACTTTGCTTTTTATGTACAAGAGTAGCAACGAAAATATCCCATCATTTCTGAATAAAATCAAAGAGATATCAGCAGAGAAAAAGAGAATGAAAAAGAAAGAGGTTAAATACCATATGTGTAATATGCATCATGCTGACATGCCAATCATCCGAGATAAAGTGTAAAAATATTCTAAATACTTTAGAAATGAAAACTGGCTATATTTTACACAAAAAAGTTTTATCTGGATTTTATATATTTATTACGCTAACAACTATGTGATGATGTTAATTCAAAAAGTATAATTATAATCTGCTTAACATAGTAATTCGTAAATTATTCATGTATTTAAACCACATATAACGCTGTTGTTTATGTTAAAAAAGCAAAGTATATCAAGCATGTAGCATTACAGAAATAGCTTTACAATTATATTTCTAGTGATATAGAGATTTTAGGCTAAAAACAAAATAATTCTTCGTCAGTTTAACATATCTTGTTTAAGGCATTTTAAAAATCTAAAAACTTGCTATTTTTTTGTAGCACTAACACACTTTTCTTCTTTTTGCTAGCACGAGCTTGAAATGCTTGAGCGTGACAAAATACACGATACTCAAATTGTCAATAAATGTTTCCGAATACATGTTCTAAGAAATATGTCACACGTATATTTCAAGAAATTAATTCATCTTCTGATAAAAGGAGAAATGTTCGTCTAAGAGTTCCGAAAAACTAAAATCATTCACATTTATGTGTAACATATGCAAATAATGATATAATACGATATACATATGTATCTAGTTCTTTAGATCAGAGCTGGACACGATCTGCACATTTCGGACGAAATTCAGTAAGTGACGCCTACCGTCCCCCTCGCACCGCTCCGCGCTCAGCGGCCGGGGCGACGATCTCGCTGCACTCAGGCCTGTCGCTGTATAAGAAATCAGCTGGGGCGTCACATTATCATTAAAATTGTTTCCTCGTTTAATAATCACTTTAAAATATATATGTTACGTGTTCAATACACACACACACACACACACACACACACACACACACACACACACATATATATGCATACACACATACATATATAACGCATAAACATATATATTTTTAAGTGATTATTAAACGAGGAAACAATTTTAATGATAATGTGACGCCCCAGCTGATTTCTTATACAGCGACAGGCCTGAGTGCAGCGAGATCGTCGCCCCGGCCGCTGAGCGCGGAGCGGTGCGAGGGGGACGGTAGGCGTCACTTACTGAATTTCGTCCGAAATGTGCAGATCGTGTCCAGCTCTGCTTTAGATAACTAGTCAGTTATCAAATGCTCAGATATCTAATTCGTTAGATATATCACGAAAATATTATTCTTACTGTGACATTTAATGGGACTTAAACAATCTATATTTTATATATTTACATTTATTATTTGCATAAATAACTTTAATGTAAGAATGTAAAAACAATGCTGTACTATATTAGCAGAGTAATACGAGTGTCTATCTTACATCAAAATTATCTTTTGCATATATCAATCCTTTTCCCCTTTTCTACATATATTTATAAACATATGTATGTATGTATGTATATATATATATATATTGCAAATTATGTTTCATGCGGACTTCTCAATATTTATGTTCTTCTCATTGTATCGATTTTAATTTCTGTAATATACTTAATGAATAGTTTTATTAGCGTAACATTTAAAATAACATAAAATGAATAAAAATAATTTTTCACACCTCAAGTATGACATATACAGAATATCGGACACAACACACGTACGTTCGCTTATGTGTGCAGGCGGAACTGGATAAATTGAACAAAAAATTGCATGTCATTATACAAACACGATAATTACTTAGATATTAATTAAAGAACGAATGCACGGAAGATAACTGGTTCAAGTGAAAACTTGCCGATATAGCTCATTCCCACCATTTCCGCACACCCATTTGCTAATATTTTTTAAATAATGTTAATAATCATCGCGATTCTCTCACGAAATAACAAAGACGTGTTTCGTTTAACTCGACGAGTTCTCTACCCGCACGCGAGCGGAGGTACGTCATGTCCCAGATATCTTGTATAAGTAATCATTATATTCTTCATAAATCAGATTTGGAAAATAGAATTAACAAGGTGCATATTTTCACATATTTCATAAGTTATATTATACTTTTATAAACATCTTAAACAGCGAATAGAATTAGATTTGTTACGTATTCGCTGATATACTTGTCGTAAGTCATTTTAACGTTGTTTCATGTACAAGCACTTCCAACCTAGAGACTTCATAGGAGACGGATTTAACTTGCGCACTTGATGCTCTCCGCTAGATTTTGTCATAAATTACAAATTTGCAAATGTTTTAGCCGTAAATTTAGTTTGTAGCTCATCATCGTGTACTCAACAGAAAGATAGGTCTACCTTCCATAACCTCACGAAATGTACGATTTATAGTACAATCATAAACCATCAGTGAATCGCCACGTGTTCCTGCAGCTCTTCGAGCGTGTTGAACGGCTGCTCGCACAACTGACATACTTGCGCCTCAGCATTGCATATGTTATGAATCACGTCCAAGTGTTCAGCCAGCTCCATCTCTGTGTTGATGCATTCGCCGCAGAGCATACACTCGTACGGGTGAACGTTCGTCTCCTTCTTCTCCCATTCCGCGATCGCGACTTCTTCCTCGTGTGCCTGCACGTGTATCTCCAACAGGACCTCCGAGTCAAACATCTCCGAACATTGGCCACATTGATAGATCTTCGACTGGTCGTCCTCCTGCTCTTCGATTCTGATCAGATTGGGATTGTCGTCTTCGTCGTCGAACAGATGCTTCCCGACATGCTCCTCCAGCGCTTGGTCCGACTCCATGGTGTCACCGCAGATAGCGCATTGGTATTGCTCCTTGTTATTGCTCTGCTCGTCCTCGCTCAGATCGTCGCAGTGCTTCTGCAAGTGATCCTTCAGCACCTCCTCGTCCGTGAAGATCTTGTCGCACACGAAACAGGTGTACGTCTCCTTGGGCTTCTCTATGGTGTCGTCGATGAGCTTGGTGCCCGTGTTCGTAGTCTTGTCGGTCTGCACGATGTTCTTCTCCGTCAAGATACCCTGCGGCTTCGCCAAGATCTCGATTTTCGGCTCCTGCCCATCGCCCGGTTTCGCAGGTACGACCACCTTGCTGCTGTCGACCTTCTTGATGTTCTCTATCGTGAATTCCGACTGGTCGTGATTGTCCAAGTGGCGCACGAGAAGTTTCTCTGTTCGGAACGTCGAATTGCAGACGTAACATTTGTGCAGCAACGGCGTCGACGTTTTACATACATGTGACTTCACATAGCGCGCGTCGACCAATGTCTGACATCTCTTGCAGCGTTTCACCTTCGACTTTCGCGTCACGGTAGCAGCGTTGTTCTCCGGGACTGTCACTTTATGACTTCGCACGTGCATCTCGACGTCTTTGCGGCTGTTAAACGATAAGCCACAGACCCCGCAGATGTGGTTCTCCGCTATGGCGCCTTCTATCTTGATAGATTCCTCATAGTCTGGCTTCTCTTCCTTCGGCTTCACCATTGGACGTTGCTCAATCGTGTAAACGGACACCGTGACGTTGTTATCTGCTATCTTAACAGCCGAAGTGTCTACCCGCTTAATAATGGGTATCTGATTGTTCGCTCCCAGTGATTGTTTCGCCGCCACGTTGCTGTACGTCTTCACAATCGGGGTACTCGTTGTTTTGCGCGTCTCCTGAATGGGCACCTCATTTATTTCATCGGAATCGGATTCCAAGGCTGACGTATTGTAATCGTTGTATCTCTTCGGAGGCACGCTCTGCCGCTTGCGGGACACCGAGCTGAACGGCCCGATAAGTTTGCTCTTTGGCGTGACTTGCTTCATCATATGGGTGTTGTTAATTTTGCGAAGCTTACTCTCCTTCTCAATGTCCATGCGCTCGACGATGACTAACGGCTGGTACAGGGACGAATTCTTCACCATCTCTATGAAATCCGATGAAACTGTGAACGGTTGATCGTGCTGCTTCATAGGCGCAATTGTGTCTCTCATGAAAGAAGTCTCGACATTGCTTATTATAGTCTTCTTTACTATACCTTTTAGTTGCTGATCGAGCTTCCGGTAAGCTTTCCCGTAAGAGTTCTCCGTCCGGTCGACTTTCGCGCCATCGTCGTTCGTGCCGAGTAGTTTCTGCTTCATTTCGTTCTCAACAAAGTCCGCCAGTCCGACCTGCACGCGCTTCAGCGACTCCAGTTCCGTCGTTTCGACGTCGACGTTCAGGCATCTTTCATATTTCTTGCTGTTCGAGTTAGATGGCGCTGGATGGACTCTGCGCAGCTGCACTGCCTCGATGATGTCGGTGTTCTTCTCTTGGCTGCTGTCGTCGGTGTTGGGACTCTTTCCCTCCTTCGATAGATTGTTCAAGGCTTCTTTGCTCAGCCGTGACGCTCCCGTCCGGATCAACGTCGACGTTACGACGTATCTGTCGTTGCCAACCATCAGCTCGGACTTTATCATGCGCGGTATGAATGCTTTCTCATTGGCTTGCGACTCAGACTTGTGCGCGCGCTCTTCTGCAGCGTCTTTTGTCACCAGCACGACCGGAGTGTTCTCCGTCGAGTGCTCTTGGGACGCAGACTTTGTTCTCTTGACATTCTTGTCCTGTTTATCCTGTTTATCAGATGAGTGCAATTCCTTGTTATTTCGTGTCTTACGGATATCAGGATCTGTGTCGATGTGATCAATGTCACGAATCGCGGTGTATTTCTCCGTGAAACTCGTTTCCAGGTTCTTCAGCACTTTCGCGATCCTCTTTTGCCGCTCAGTTTCTTTGTCTGCGTTGGTCTTTGCACGGGCTTTTTGCACAGGCGACATTTGTGCATCGTCAGAAGCTACTGAATCACTATCGGAAACATTCTCCCCGGTCGCTGCTAGCAGTGCCTTTTTCCTCTCTACCCAGCGTTTTGTAGACGCTTTCCTTCTTTCGATAGCTCTACCACGTTTGCCAGGTAACAATCTACTTTTATTTAATCCAGCCGATGGTTTATTATCTACTGGCTCATCTCCATTTTCCTTTAACTTACTATCGTCAGAATTGACTGTTTTGTCAGGATTCTTAGGTACAATTACTTCAGCATCATCTGATATATATATTGTATGCATTGCACCTTGGTCCTTTATGTCAACACTTGTAATTTCAGAAGAGCTTGCTTCTATCTTAGTCTTTTTCTGAAATGGTATAGTCATGTTGTTTTACAATTGTCAAAATGTAACTTATACTTTAGTTATACAAGTAATCTCATCAAACATGAAAACATATTATTGGTACAAATTAGATATATGAGGATATACAAAAAACATAAAGCATGTGAGTTAAGTAATTGTAAAATTGACAACATACCGTGTCATTGTGCTCAGAAACAGTATTCTCAGTGTTCTCACTTAAACGTTTTCTCTTTACGCTCCCATCTGTGTTTTTTTCATTCTTATTCTTAGAGTTCTTATTCTAGAATCGAAAAAGAAAATAAAAAATATACCACACTGAATGGTTACAACATCCAACCAAAAGATATAGTGACCACTTACATTGGTGTCGGAAACTTCTGACGCTTGCAATTGTCCCAAAAGAATCTTGTTGGACTGTATGAACCGCTCTTTGAACTCACTCCACATATTCAGCTTGTACAGGCATACATGACATACGAAAGCAGGTAAATTCTCCTCATGCTTAATCTGCGACAAACAAAGATAGAATAAATATCTGAACTGTCTCGTTAATGTGAATCTAACGTGGTCAATCATTGAACGTACGTCGACGAACGTGCACTTGACGAGATCCTTGAGCTTGCTCTCCACCCGCTCGTTCCGCAAACTGATCATGCAGCCGTTGTCCGCCAGACAAATCCGACACCGTTCGGTCATGTTCGACCGGTTCGTTGTGTTTTGCTTCGTCGACATTGTGTCAAACAGGAAGTAATCGCGACAGAGCCAAGGTGACCAGAATCTCGCTCAGACCGCGCAATGCGGCTTTACGACAGCTCGAAATGCACGGCAAGCGGGTTGTGGTGGGTATCGAGTGCACATCGCGATTACGATGTGCTAGCAATAACCTTTCCAATCGCTTCTCTTCACACCTAATTTCAATAGTGTACGATTACAATACTGCACGGTACATGTGATACGTTCCAATATTCACATAGGTGCTCGGGCAGTTTGTTGAGTCACTTGCGCGTTATTCACATCCATTCGAACCGAGAGTGCACTCGTAATCAGCAGACATTTTCCATGGCAAAGCGCGCGGAACAGAAATATGGCGTGGTATAAATTACACGAATGCAACTTCGTCGCTGGAATATTGCGTGCGATATCTGTCCTCTCACCGTATTGGTGCATAAGCGCAGACTGCGTTGATAACACTAATTCCTATTGGTTCGAGCTAATGCTTACTGGCGAAATAAAGATCAGTCCTCACTTGCGCAGCACATTCATGATTCGTGGACAAAATCTTACGAAAGATTCGCAACGCCGAGGTAGCGTTAGTGACGCCAGGAAAGTATTTTACTGCGCATGCGCCGCAAGCATCGAAGAGGAGTCCCAAGATGGTAAAAATTGAGTAAAAATTATAGACATAGTATATCTAGACTGCGTGTTCGAGGAATAGGGATATAGTTCACGTAGAAAAGGATATATTCTGTTTTTACTGTTCGTTCTCTCGCACAGTCCTAATAGAAGGGGTATAGAGGAGGCAGTTGCTGTACAGTGCTGTATAGTAACCACCGCCCCTATTCTCCTTCCATTGGGACTGTGCGAGAGAGAACAAACAGTAAAAACAGAGTGCTTGCTTTTCTATGAGAGTTATACCCCCACTCTTGAAATTTGGGAGAACGCGCAGTCTAGTGGTCTGTTCTTTGTAGCTGCACTGCTGAACTGGTGCAATAAGTTAGAATGAGAAAACCTATATTTGTCTCACTTTAACTTATTGCACCAGTTCAATAGTGCAGCTACAAAGAACAGACCATAGATATACTATGTCTATGGTAAAAATCGAGCATCCTGCTCCGCGGTGTTTCGAGAACCTTATTCAAAAGTTGAAATTCGTCAAGTTAAAAGTTGAAAATTTATCCCAAAGTAAAAAAATTTCCGTTAGAAATCTTGAATATTCAAGACCGGTCTAGAATCTTGCAACATTCCGTCGCGAGTTGCGGAATGGCAACTTGTCAATTGCAAGTAGATCATTGTAACGTTTAATCCACATATAAATGTTGTGAAAAAATAGTCAATTAATAATAATAGCCAGAAAATATAACGTCCGCTTTTTGTTGTCTATTAATTTTAATCGATGACTAGTTAGCAGAATAGTCAGATAATATTTAAAATAAATATTAAAATATTTATATAAAATATAAATATGGCTGTTTTTGTCAATTAATCGAAATTTAATGAGATAATGAGATAATAGCGTTAACACGCAATAAGAAACAGATAAAATTTTTAGGCGTTGATAATTAAATTAAAAAAATCTTCATCTTCAGATCAAGAGGCACGGTAAGAGGCGCGCCGTTCGGGCGCAATTTCGTAGCGCTTGAACTTGGCGCGAGGCACACCGTGCCTATTATTACGCGACTGCAAGTTGAAATGAGGTGAGATTTTCATATCTCAGCAATGGCTGAAACGATCGAGGTTTTTTTAGTCCCAATCGATTCGGCCTTCAAAAATAGGTAGAAAAGTGTTCTTGTGCTTTTTTGTACGTTGTCTCTAAGTGGAGATATTTTAAGATAAAGTCTGAATCATGGAAAATTACGATTCAGTAAGAAAGTAAGAAAGAAAGAAAGAAACGCTAGACCGCCGAGGAAAGGGAATTTGTGCATCTCGTTTTTCCGACACCAGGGGCGCTACGAGAGCGCTGAATAGTAGTATACATACATAAACATAACCCATTTCTTTCCAATGTTGTGTATATACGCAACACGAAGTTTATATAATTAATTATCAGTAATTTTTTTTTTCACGAAGTGTTAGACTAATTGTGAAATAAGTTCATTTTGACTGCATTTTGAGAAGTTAAACTTCGTGTTGCGTATACGCAACATTGGGAAGAAATGGTGGGTTAAGTATGCAACATCGGTGCATCGTCATCAGTGGGATATACATTAGTGATTGATTAGGATTTTTTTGATTAAACATCAGTGATTGATTAAGAATATATACATACATTAAGCGCGCAACATCGGTGCATCGTCATCATCAGTGGGATACATTATTGATTGATTAGGATATTTTTTGATTAAACATCACTGATGATTAAGAAGTAAGTATGATTATTAACAAAAATGGTTATTAACAAAAACATGCAAGGAAGTTTACGAATTTGCGCAGAAAGAAGCGTCGGACATTCCTGCTATAGAAAATCTCAAGGACTTCACACCGCCGCGAAAAAAGAAAAAAGCATCGGTTGTGGTCTATGCATTGCCGGAAAATACAACTTAAGAAGGACTCGGGTATGTTAAATTTTATACTATCCCCTCATCTTATTTGCCTCTAATTCGTACGTTTCATTTGAATGAATAGGTGTTAATCACGTGCACAATTTTGCACCTTGTGATCATTCCGGCTGTCAGTGTGATAATTCATGCCCATGTATACAAGCACAAAACTTCTGCGAGAAGTTTTATCAGTGCAGCAGCGAATGCCAGAACAGATTTCCTGAGTGTAAGTGCAAAGCGCAATGCAATACAAATCAGTGTCCTTGTTATCTGGCTGTCAGGGAATATGATCCAGATCTTTGCCAAACGAATGGTGCAGATCATTTCCAAATCAATTCTAAATCTTGCAAAAATATCAGCGTGCAACATGGTCTTTATAAGTTTCGAAAAATTTAATTTATTAGAGTGAAAATCAGTATAATCTCAATGAGTAGAATTTTTTATTTGAAATATACTTTATACAATTTGAAATATCAGCAGCGAAGAATGAATTCATCTAGGAATATTGCGGCGAAATTATCAGTCAAGACGAAGCTGACAGGAGGGGAAAAGTATATGATAAATATATGTGTAGTTTCCTTTTTAATCTTAACAATGGTAAGTAGAGATAGATATAGTAGTTAATTAAATATTGAAAAATAATAGAAATTAAAAGTTTTTGGTCGGTTTCAGATTTTGTTGTAGTCGTGACACGGAAAGGGAATAAAATAAAGTTCGCTAATCACTCGATAAATCCAAATTGTTATGCGAAAGTGATGATGGTGAACGGTGATCATAGAATAGGTATTTTTGCTAAGAGAGCGATTCAACCTGGTGAAGAATTATTTTTTTACTATAGGTATGTTACTGTAATGTTTTGTTTAATTTATTAATTGCAAACAATTAAAATCATGCGATAATTTTCAGATATGGACCAACAGAACAATTAAAATTCGTCGGTATCGAGCGAGAAATGGTGTTTCTCTAATATATGTATATATATTATATGGACTTTTACACATATAAATGGTGCATCAAGCGGATACATACAGCTGAAATATTAGAAAGGAAATAAGCACTGCCTGATTTGTATGCCTCTCTATTTTTAATTAAATTTTACATTTTCATTTGTCTGCCCAATTTTGCAAAATTGTAGTAATAGAGATTTTTTGCACATGTAGGTAAAGGAACTTTTTGAAATTCAAGTTTTTTATGGACATTTTATATTATAGCAAATTTATTATGAAGGGGAGTAAGTGCCGGCAAAAGTCGAGTGATTTGGAAGGTTCATCGTGAACGTGGGGGAGCAGGACGCGGCCAGTTTATTAAAAATTATTTTCATTTTAAATAAAAAATAGAAAATTATATATATTTATAAATAATGTATTTATAATAAATATATATAATATAATAAATAATAAAATAATGATTTTCATTAGAAAAAGAGAATGAGAGAATGAGAGAGGGAGAGTGAGAAAGCGTGAGAGGGTTTGGGAGTGAGAGAAAGTGTGAGAGTGAGAGAGAAAATAAGTGAGAATGGGAGAGAATGAGAGTGAGAGAAAGTAGAAGAGTGAGAGAGCTTGAGAGAGTTTGGGAGTGAAAGAAAGGGTGAGAGTGAGAGAGAAAATGAGAGAGAATAACAGAATAGGAGAGCATAGGAGAGAATGAGAGAGAATGAAAGAGAATGAGAGAGTATGGGAGAGAATGAGAGAGGGTAAGAGAGAGAGAGAGAGAGAGAGAGAGAGAGAGAGAGAGAGAGAGAGAGAGAGAGAGAGAGAGAGAGAGAGAGAGAGCGTGAGAGAATTTGGGAATGAGAGAAAGTGTGAGAGTGAGGAATTGAAATGGTGAGAGAATGAGAGAGAGTGAGAAAGAGCTAGAGAGAGAGAGAGAGGAAGATAGAGAGTGAGAGTGATTTTTATTAGAAAGAGAGAGAGCGAATGAGAAAATGAGAGAGGGTGAGAGTATGGCAGAGGGAGAGTGAGAGAGTATGAGAAGGTATGGGAATCAGAGAAAGTGAGAGTGAGAGAGAAAATGAGTGAGAATGACAGAGAATGAGAGAGAGAGAGAGAGAGAGAGAGAGAGCGTGAAAGAGTTTGGGAGTGAGAGAAAGTGTGAGAGTGAGAGAGTGAGGGGTTGAGAGAGTGAGAGAGAGAGAGAAAGTGAGAGAGTATATATTGGTATATACGTATGTACATACGTACATATATGTACGTAGTACATATGCATCTATATACGTATATACGTACATATGTAAGTATGTATGTATGTATATATGTAAGTATGTATGTACGTAAGTATTAACGTATGTATAATATGAACGTTTGTATGTACGTATGTATATACATGTGTACGTATGTATGTACGTATGTACCCAGTAAGCAAAATGCTAACAGAATGCGCGCAAATTGACGCCAATTTCGATCAGATCTCCAGATCAAAACCATAGCCATCTGTGTCCTCATTAGGCTCGTGTTTTGTCGACAGGACCTGTATAACAGGCCGTGCGAGCAGATTGTCGGCAGAAACCGCGCAGGTACTGCTGCCAAACTATACGTAGAGTCTGCACGTAGAGTTTGCTCAGTTTCTGCCGCCAATCTGCCATCAAATTACTGCAAATCTTGCGCGGTTTTTGCTACAAATCTGCCGTCAAATATCTGACAACAGGATCTGGCGCATATTTGACCGCAGATTGGCGGCATAATTTGATATAACAGATTCTGCGTTAAATTTGTTGCCTATTTGCCATCAAACTATGATAGTAGGCTTTGTTCGAAATCTGCTCGCGCAGGTTTGGCTATCTGGGTACATACGTATATATCTATCTATGTAGATACATATGTACGTGGTACGTATGTATATCTATGTACGTATATACGTAAATATGTATGTACGAATGTATTGTATGTATGTTATGTGTGTACATATATGTACGTATATCTTACACTTTCTCACACTCTCATTCTCCCACTCCCTCACTCTCTCTCTCTCTCTCACTCCTTCACACTCTTCCCCCCCCCTCTCTCTCTCCCTCTCCCTCTCTCTCTCCCCCTCTCTTTCCCTCTCTATCTCTCCCCCTCCCCTTTCTCTCTATCTCTCTCTCTCTCTCTCTCTCTCTCTCTCTCTCTCTCTCTCTCTCTCTCTCTCTCTCTCTCTCTCTCTCTCTCTCTCTCTCTCTCTCTCTCTCTCTCTCTCTCTCTCTCTCTCTCTCTCTCTCTCTCTCTCTCCCCCCCCCCCCCTTTATCTCTTTCTCTCTCTCTCCTCCCATCTCTATTTATTTATTTATTATTATATATATATATTATTAATCTATACCTTAACCCATAATAAACATTAATCTATACAGGGTGCACGATTTATCTGAAGACATTGAAATATCTCGAGAACTGCATTGGATAAAAAAAAGTGGTTAATGAAAGTTGTTAGTCTCGAAGGGGGACATCCAATGATACCAAACTCGACCTCCCACCCCACCCCCTGGGGGTGGGGGTTGGGGGCAACTTTGAAATCTTAAATGGAAACCTCCATTTTTTATTGCAGATACGGATTCTACGCCACAAAATATAATAAATTTTGTCCGAAACTTTTTTTTTGATTCGTGATAGATGGCGCTGTAATCGCAAAAAATTATATTTTCCGCAATTCTCCAGAAATGATCATTGGATTGAGAAATAAAAAATACCTGTTCAATATTTTTAAAGAACATAATAAAAGTTCAAAGTTGCCTCCAACCACCACCCCCAGGGGGTGGGGTGGGAGGTCGAGTTTGGTATCATTGGATGTCCTCCTTCGAGACTAACAACTTTCATTAACCACTTTTTTTTATCCAATGCATAGTTCTCGAGATATTTCAATGTCTTCAGATAAATCGTGCACCCTGTATATACAGGGTGTCCCATTTTAAGTGTCCACCCCAAATATCTTTCTTATTTTTGATTTTAGAGAAAAATTGTTCAGACACGTTTTGTATGGTTTCGACGGGGCCATAAGATGGTACCATTGATTTGACCTTGAAGAGTCATTTGAAGGTCACGTGAAGGTTACCTCAACTTTTTTAGATGACACCCCCTATTTTTTATTACATATTCTTGTAGCTGACCTCGAGAGCTTCCCAAAACACTATAATCAAATGTTTTTTGGTGAAGTACTTTTCGAGTTATAAAGCTCCAAATTTACAAAATTTGATAAAAATACAAAATATTTCGTAAAACATTCACTTTCCGATAGTCTTATCTTACATGATCCAACCAGTCAAGGCAAGATCCGAGCATGATCCAGCCGGTCAAGGCAAGATCCGAGCATGATCTAGCCAGTCAAGATGAGATCCTGTATTGTTGATAATCAATGAATTGTAACAATTGTGAAAGTGCAATTGTCAATTCTTTTAATGAAACAAATATCAAGAGGCTTGTTTCAAATTTCTTACTTGGGCAATTGTCGGTATTTTGGCGAAGTCTCAGACAGACGCATATTATTATCCATTGACTTTCTTTTGATAAGACAGGAATTTTTGGTCTTTTGGCGCTTCTTTCTTTATAATTATGGCTGCTTATCCACCAAATGAAATTATGGACATGATTCGCATTTTGGGTGAGGCCAGGAATAATTACTCGGCACCAGAAAGGCTTTATGCTGAAAGATTTCCAGACAGACGCCATCCTGATAGGAAAGTAATAAAAAGACTCTGCGACAGAGCTGAACAGGGTATTCTTAGAAGAAACCGGCGAAAATCGGGCCCTGATGAAGTCACATCATTGACTGTTATAGGTGCCGTTGCTTTGAATCCTCAAATCTCTACGAGACAAATTGAGAAGCAATACGGTATATCTAAATCAACAGCCAATTGTGTGCTCAAGCTCAACAAGTTTCACCCATATCACATTCATCTAACTCAGCAATTGGAAGAGAGGGACTACCAACGCCGTGTACGTTTTTGTAATTGGGCTCGAGATCAAATCCAACAAAATCCCTGATTCATTGCTGATACGCTTTTTTCTGATGAAGCCACGTTTTGTAATAGAGGAGGCGTTAATAGACATAACTGCCATTATTATTCAGATGCTAATCCATATTGACAGAGAAGCCAAGAGTTCCAACGGCAGTGGTCCATTAACGTTTGGGCAAGCATCCTGGGAGATGTTATTGTTGGTCCATATTTTTTTGAAGAAAATCTCAATGCGGCAATCTATCTAAGATTTCTTCAAGATGACCTGCCCAACCTCTTGAGACATGTCGACAATGATTTACTCAGACGAATGTGGTTCCAACAAGATGGAGCCCCGGCTTATAAATCTCGAGCTGTTACACAATACTTAAACAATAGATTCCCGAAAGGTGGATTGGTATGGGCAGCCGAGTTCAAGAATGGCCCCCAAGTTGACCCGACTTGACACCCCTAGATTTTTATTTCTGGGGCTACATTAGAGATATAGTTTATTCGTAAAAGCCTACAGCCGTTGAAAATATGAAAACCCGGATCAGACAGGCTTGCAGAAATATTAATGTAGGTATTCTTGAAAAAGTTACGGACGACTTTCACCATAGACTAGAGCTATGCATACAAGTAAATGGCCAAGTTTTTGAACACTTTAAGTAATTGTACACAAAAGAAGATCTTGCCTTGACTGGTTGGATCATGCTCGGATCTTGCCTAAACTGGCTGAATCATGCTAGGATCTTGCATTGACTGGCTGGATCATGCTCGGATCTTGCCTTAACTGGCTGTATCATGCTCGGATCTTGCCTTGACTGGTTGGGTCATGTAAGATAAGACTATCGGAAAGTGAATGTTTTACGAAACATTTTGTATTTTTATCAAAATATTGTAAATTTGGAGCTTTATAACTCGAGAAGTACTTCACCAAAAAACATCTATTGTAGTGTTTTTGGAAGCTCTCGAGGTCAGCTACAAGAATATGTAATAAAAAGTAGAGGGTGCCATCTAAAAAGATTGAGTAACCTTTTCGTGACCTTCAAATGACTCTTCAAGGTCAAATCAGTGGAATCATCTTATGGCCCCCTAGAAACCATACAAAACATGTTTGAACCATTTTTCTCTAAAATCAAAAATAAGAGATATATTTGGGGTGGACACTTGAAATGGGACATCCTGCATATAATCTCATATGTAAATGATATCATCTTATATATAAATATGTGTACTTATATACGACAATTTATATATAATTTTATATCTTTATGTATAATAATATGCGAACATATTTTATATTAGAACAAATAAGTTTCCGCCGTATTCTATCAAAAATTAGGAATTTATTGTGAAAGAACGGTACATTACGTTTTATTTAAAGTATTGTCCATCACTAGCTACTACTTTTTCCCATCTTTCTGGCAGC